AAAAAGAAGCAAATGAAAACCCAAGAGGCAAATCATCTCATGCCGAATTTTTTATAATCACCATATTGCTATATGGACCTGCTTTGCCGTCATTCAAGAAAAATGATATCTTGGGAAGACAGTTAATATTGATTCTCTTTACCCCGTATCGGCAAATCATCTCATGCCAAAATTTTTATGATCGCCGTATGGCCTGCCCGATATCTCAATGCTTTGCTTTTTCTGAATCTCGTTTTTCTCTCGGCAAGGCATTTTTTTTACAAACCGCATTAATCAATTGTCATAAACTCACATATGGCTTTTCAGCGAGTTTACTATCTACGCCAATTTACGGGCCTTTGAGAAAGTGACTCGATTTTATTCTTAAGTAAAAAAATAAAAATTCGGGGAATCTTCTTTTCTATTCTCAGTTTTTTCTTGTTTTAATTTCTATGGCTAGAAAGTTAGCCAATTTCTATAGCTAGTGTCACAGAACGGATCAAGATTTATTATTGTATGTAATCTTAACAGTATAAGATACGTGAATAACACTGTATTGACGATATTGGCAGAATCAGAAAGGAAACTGAAACAGCTCTTAGACAAGGTAGTAATGGAAAGCAAGAAGAAAGGACCTAACTATGAACTGTAAGAAAACATTATGTAGGATAGTCAGCAATAAATACAGTAAAATATCGGAACTACATATTAGAGATGCCAAAATCAAGCAAATACAGAAAATCCCCTAAATGGGTAGCGTAGTAACAGGCAGTAAAAATGTGAGAGAAATCTGAAAATTGGAATAGCGAAGGATTTCCAGAAATTAAGCAGTGTTAAAGGCAAATATAATAACTTTAATGAGACTAAAAATTCAAAATGAGACACATTAAGAAAGGCTCTAGTGACATCAAATGGAATCATCCCAAGGAAAACGAGACAAGAGAAAAAGAGTGGACGAGAGATGAAATTCTCCAGAACTAACAAAGAGACAACAAACAATACCAAGGAATGATACAGATTATCTAACATTAAATCATGTACCTCCACATTTTCGGCATAAATTTTCGATACCTAAGGTTTAAAATGAATTTTAAAAAAATGAAAAAGCATTCTTGAAGACATCATTTTAGCCTTAATTTAAAGCTAAAGGATTAAATTTATTATTCCTAGTAAGTAAAATATTCTGGTGTATTTCAGATAGAAATTATATAGATTGGAATGTCAAATTTAATTACGATTTCTTAAAATTTTCTTAAAAGAGGTCATTTTCCTAATTTTAGGAAATTTGTAAACAAAACAAATTTATCGATTTTAAAATTCTTCCAATATATATATAAATATTGAAAATTTAAAGTTAAATTAATTTGATTTTAAATAAATATTACTTATAGCATAAAAAGTAATATACACGATTTGTTAATGATTGGTAGTGTTTATTGATGGACGATTGAGTGATGAAGCAATTACAACTAGTATGACTAGAATTGACAAATTTACGAAATCTAAGTAAACGCATTTTTGGGGAGGTTTTAACTATCTAGTAATTTTTACAAATGAACATAATTTTCGCAATTATCTAATAATTTAATGACTTTTATTTACCTTTTCGAAGATGCTTTATGAAAAAATAAAAATAAATTAAAATATAATAAAATTTTCTTAAATTAATTTCTCTGTAAAGGGACAAAACTCTTAGATTACGTAACCTTTTCATAATAATGTCACATTTACCCTTTCATAGATGAAAAAAAGGAACAAATTACGTAAAAAAACTTATTTAAAAATAGTATAGTGTAACTACGTTTATTAATCTTTTCAATTTTGGATTTGTAAATTTCGTTTCCACTTAATTACTACATCACATCCAAGAAATAGCCCAGTACAGAATTTTACACGATTTTAAACTATTATAAATTACTATAATTAAAATCTAGAAAAAAAAAATGTGAAAATTCATTATTCATTGGAAAAATTTTATTTCTTCAGACAGTAGTGTCCTTGATATAACTTATCGACAAAAGCAATTAAAAGCTTTTCTAATTAAATAATGTCATAGTTTTATTGCATTCATTTTTTTTTTCAATTCAGAGCAGATTTTCAGTTAGAATAAAATTAGATGATTTACATTCTCCAAGGAGTCCTACTTTTAACAAATAAAAAAAAAGCAGCTGTAAAATGAGCAAATGGAGGGTTAGGGAGAGAACGATTAATTTTTCTTTTCTCAATTTTTAAGCCGCTCCCTATTCCTTTGGGCAAAGTAAATTTTCGCGTATTGCCTTGATTTTTTCTTTATCTCGTAGCCAATAAAGCAAATTAAAAAAAAGTTTGATTGGTCAATAAAAATTTTCGCACAGGCTCGCGAAATTGAAAAAAAAAGTGCAAAAAAAGAGAGTTATTTACGTGTATTTACGTCGCGAATTATGATCCCATGTTATGATACGAACATATGTCAACAAGGTAGACGCCAAACTATTTGCTCATCTAAAGACTATTCACATTCTCATCCACACCACACGCTGCAGCAGAAATGTCGAATTGCACAAATTTCTCCGACTACACGGAATATTACTGTCTTCTGTGGAGTGCCCTCGATGCCATTCACCTTGCTCTTTGCGTGCCGAATAAAAAACATGGCGTTGCAGAAATTATCTCTCCTGTCCTAGCAGCCCGAATCGTCCTAACCGCCGGAAAACAGAATGTGGCTTCAGCGTTAGTGGTAGAAAAAATACATTTGTGTGGAAAGTGATACTTTTTGTAACACATTTCCTTGATCGTAGCTGGTGTCATAGGATAATGTTTGAAAACTTGGACGTTGCAAATCACACTTCAGTTAATTGGCGCTCATTCTGCAGCGAGGTGTGCCAGTTTTGGCAAGAAAATGTGCAGGAAAAGTTGGGTGGATCAGGTGTCGAGGTAGAAATCGATGAAACGGTTATCTCCAAACGCAAATATAACCGAGGGCGTGTCATGACATGATTTACCTTCCATGGATAGCCAGTTACTTCCTAGAATAAAAGAGGTCGCTTCGTTTGGGAGCAGAGCGTTGCCTCCCTTGTAAGCTGATGTAAGTTCTTTACTGTTATTTCTACTAACGAATACCATAAGATGGTGGCAGCGGTAAAAAACGAACATGTAATGTTACAGTGAATGTAAACAGAAAACAGGAGAGCAGTTGTAAAGTCTGGCAATATTTTATTCTCACCGGCTTTTGCGAAACAAGAAGCAGCCACGTGCGTTTATATAAAAAAAAAAGACACCATATTGGAATTTTGTAACCGTAACTGTAAGTTATCTCATACTATCTTTTCGAGTCCTTTTTGTGTTCAAAGTAATAATAATAATGTCTAACCATATAAGTGAACCACTTATGTGCTGGGAAACATCAAATTTGATAGAATCCCTGAAATTTTTCAAGCAACAATGTGAGTTATTCTCCGTGAAAGGCATTCCAGAGAACAAACAAGTTGACTACATTCTTCTGTTATTGGGAAAAGAAGGTTTAAGACGCTATAACTCGTGGTCGTTCGGAAACGAAGCCGACAGAAGCAATCCTGCGGCAATTTGGGAAAAATTTCTAGAGCAAATAGAGCCACAAATTAACTTTCGGATTGCACACTTCTGCTTACAAAATTATTCGCCAAAAGAAACAGAGAACATTGACAATTTTCTAGCGAGATATAGGCTTCAGGCACAAAAATGCAAGTTCAGAGACGAGCATAAGATGGAAGAACGAGTAATCGACCAGATCATTGCCGGAACAAAATTCCCTGAATTACAAAAGCAGCTACTCAGCAAAAACGAGGCAATGTCCATGTCAGAAGTACTCAACATGTGTAGGATTTACGAGGTTTCAATCAACTACATGAGGCAAATGGGAAGGCTACAAGGGAAATGCGACAGTCAAATAACTGCAATGAAACACGAACCTGAAGTCACAGAAAACTGTGGCAGATGTGGACTCAACCATCAAAACGTGAATTGGCCTGCTCGAGGCAGCACTTGCTCAGCATGTGGACGGAAGAACCACTGGGCTAGGATGTGTCACAACAAAAAAGCCAAGAGAAAAACTGACAGGCAACCACAAACAAACAGGTCTTCCAAACGCAAACAAATTCACACCGGTACAGAACGCGTATAAAAACTCTATTAACGTTCAGGACCAGAAAGTGGAGGAAATAAAATCACTCTCCAGTCCTAGGAATATTACCGAGCTGCAGAAGGTACTAGGAATTATTACCTACATGGCGCCATTCATTCCTAGGCTTTCAGACCTCACGGCAAGCCTCAGGGAACTCTTGAGAAAAGATACTATGTTTGGAGCAATAGCCACCAGAAGTCACTGCAAGAAATAAAGGACTTGATATGCAAATAAATGCTACTACACTATTATGACCCTTCTAAAAAAGTTCATAATACAAGTCGATGCATCATCTAGAGGTTTGGGAGCAGCACTAATCCAAGAAGGCAAACCCATAGCTTTCGCTTCAAAATCCGTGATCGAAACAGAGCAGCGCTATGCCAATATCGAGTGGGAGCTCTTAGCTGTTGTATTCGGCTGCGAACGATTTCACACATATTTACGGATGTTTATTCGAAGTTGAAAGTGACCACAAACCCTTGGAAATGATTTGCCTCAAGAACCTAACAGTAGCATTTCCCGACTTCAACGAATGTTATTAAGACTCCAAGAATATTACATTGTCATCAAATATCGACCGGGCAAAGAGATGCTACTGGCAGATGGACTATCCAGACTTCCAAACAAAAAGAACAAAGAAGTCATTGACTTAAACATCAAAGTAGACTTCGTGCAATTCTCATCTAAAAAATTAACTCAGATCCGTCAAGCAACTAATGCCGACCCAATATTGTGTGAATTAAGGGCACGTATTCTTCAAGGCTGGCCAGAATGTCGCTGAGAACTACATAAAGATCTTCATCCATACTGGTCTTAAAGAGATGAGCTCTCTATTGAGAATGGCATTTTGCTCAAAGGTGACAGGATACTGATCCCTAAATCAATGCAGCCCAAAACACTGGAAAAATACATTATGGTCACCAAGCTCAGGGCAAAAACATGCGTTTTCTGGAGTGGCATAAATAGCGACATCGACAAGATAGTACAACAATGCGCCATATGTCAACACGAGATCCCAGTACGACCATGGCAAATCGTGGTTACTGATATTTTCAACCTTAACAGGCATAGTTACCTCCTTATTGTGGATTACTACTCCAAATACCCCTTCATCCGCAAACTAAGGGAATTCTCCAGCAAGGAAGTCATTGATCTTACCAAGCAAATCTTTGCTGAACAAGGAGTCCCGGAAAGGCTTATCAGTGACAATGAGCCACATTTTAGCTCTCAGCATTTTAAAGAATTTGCCAAAGCATGGGATTTTGAGCACATCACCTCTTCTCCCAAATACCCCCAATCGAATGGCATGGCAGAACGGTGCATACAGACCATCAAGGAAGCCATGAAGAAGGCCATACTGAGCAACCGAGACGTAGACATGAGTCTGCTGTGTCTCCGATTGACTCCAATGGATCACGTAATCCCATCCCCGGGAGAACTACTATTCAATCGGAAGCTGGTCAGTAATCTCCCCACGAAATGCACCAACAATATTACCCGGAAAGAGGAAATTCAGGATTGCCTACTCGATAGTCAGTGGTTGCAGGGAAAACAACATGATCAACATGCAAAGGATCTCTCCAAACTTAGCACAGGACAACTGGTGCGAGTACAAGAACAGGATACGAGGAAGTGGACTCCAGCTGTGGTCAAACACGTCTGCACTGAACCACGTTCATACATCTTTGAAACCCCAACAGGACAGGTTCTTCGCAGAAACCGTAGGTATCTCAAGGAAGATGTTAGCAACAAGGCACTGACGTCTCCCCATAGTACGTCCCCGCCTCACTCTGAGCCTCCACCCCCTAATATTCCAAACACACCTCCTGCAGGTACACCCAACACACCCTCCAACATCTGCACTTCATCTAAAGTAACACTCAGACCTGCACATAAAACGAAGCCTAGTAGCATCACACCAACAGAAAAAATCACTAGATCTGGTCGTGTCATAAAGCCTCCCCAAAAATACAACTTATAGAAAGAGTTCACATAAAGTTTTTTTTTCAACAGTTCTTATAATGAAAGGAGGATGTCATGACATGAGTTACCCTCCATGGATAGCCAGTTACTTCCTAGAATAAAAGAGGTCGCTTCGTTTGGGAGCAGAGCGTTGCCTCCCTTGTAAGCTTAACATGACTTGTCGTTTTCTCTTATTCTGTACTCTTATATCTACTTTCGAATACCATAACAGGGCGTAGTTTGAAAACGGTCTGGCTTTTGGGTGGAATTGAAAGACTTTCGAAGAAGACGTTTTTGATTCCATTAACATCAGATTGCGGTGAAGGAGAATCCAGGGATGCAAATACACTTGTTCCATTAATAATGCGCCATATCCGACCAGGATCTATCATTTACAATGATTGCTGGTCGGCGTATGTGCGAATATCAGACCATGGGTACACGTACAAACAGATTAATCACAGTGAACATTTCATTGACACGACAAACCGGAATATCCACACCCAAACAGTGGAAAGATTAAGGACTACCAAGGATATTGTCAAACGATCTGGACACAGAACTGTTTTCTTATACCAATATATTGCTCGTTTCTTGTTCATGAAATCAATCCCTCACCATAATCAGCGCCTTCACGTGTTCCTGACAGAGGCAAGAAAAATGTACCCAGGACCCAAATGAAACTGCTTAATTATATATATATATATATATATATATATGAAACGTAAATTTGTTCTTAGTATTTCCTTTCTAGCATTTTCTAAATTGTAATTTTATTTTCTAAATTACTTTGCTCTTTACAAAGTTTGCGCATTAATTATTGTTGGTTTTATTTTTAATTTACTGTATTATTTAATTTGCTCGTTTTGTTCTTTTTCAATTTGTCAATATTTTCATATATTTGAAACTTAAATTTGTTCTTGTATTTCGTTTCTAGCATTTTTTTGTTTTAATTTTTATTTAAAAAAATGCTAAATTTAAAAAAAAATGCTTTATTGTATTATTTAATTTGTTCTTTTAATTTGTCATTGCTATTCTACACAGAAGAAAAGGTTTTATTGTATTATTTAATTTGTTTTCATAAAAAGTTTTATGTTATACATAATACTACACTTATAAAAAAATGCTTTACGACAGTGCGTAGTGATTTCGGCGTTAAATTCAGTTAAAGAAGCAAATAGGCTAAAATTTATGCTCGCGCGACCGAAAATACCCGGAAGTGCCACGGGCTAAAAAAACAATGCTCGTAATGGCGGACGAATGACTGAGACAGAGTCCGATTTTTTTCTTGTTGATAACTCCAAAACGGTAGGTTTTATCATAATTTAATTGTTATTTCGAGTTCAGCATGTACATTTACACGGAAATAAGACAATTTGGTAAAATTTGATAGATATTTAGAGCGGGGCTTAAAAATCAAATTTACCAATTTATTATTTAAATTCTGTTTCTTCTCTCCGAACCATTCACATTTATGAACATATCCTTTATCAGTTTTATGAAAGTATCTTTATCAAAACATCCAATCTTGAATTGACTGAAAAAGCAGTTTCTTATAATATTCACTGTCACAGAAATATTTATGACCAATTATCTCTTAAAAGAAAATAGTGTAATTTTTCTGTCAGCGAACAACAACAACAAAAACAAAAAAAAAAAAAATAACATAAAAGGTTTCAAAAGATACAATCTTTTTTAATTTTATTTCAGCAACTACTAATGTTATAAAATGAAATAAGACATATCTCGGCTGATTTACAGGCAAATACTCAAGAGCGAGAACCGGATGTAAACGGGACAAAGCCCCGTCACAAAATGACCATTATCTTTCTTCACAAATGTTCCCGACACACGTGTTCCGTCGAAAAATAAAATAATATTTAAAGTGCTCTATTTTTCGTCCAATAAAAATGCCTCCCTCCTAATTATACTCGCTTCGTTTTTCGAGCTTGTTAAGCCATAAAAAAACACTATAAAAGGGGTCACACGGAAGCTATAATTGACCAAGACTAACAAAAGTCTTCTGAGAATATTTCTTTAAATCAATACTCATAACTCTGCAACAGATATGCGTAACAGAATTAACAGGACAAAAATGTACTCACCAATAGGACGCATAAGATCAAAAGAACGAATGCACATAATAGTAAAAGAGAGTTTGAAAGTTAGAATGAATATGTCGGAAAAATCTTTCACGGTGATAGAGAGAGAGAGAGAGAGAGAGAGAGAGAGAGAGAGAGAGAGAGAGAACATTGCAATACACTAAAATGAAGAAGGACTGGAAATACGAAAGTGTAAAGTAAGATCAGCACAGGCTACAGTGAAAAAGAACAAAGTAGCGGGACTAGACGTGATTGTAATAGAAATGCTGTCAGCCATAGATGATTTCGACATAGACAAAATAATGGAAATAAATGAAATATCCGGTAGTGACGACATACTAGAAGACCTTAGTAGATCCCTCATCGTAGCGCTTCCTAAGAAGATAGGTGCAAATCAATGCAAACTCCGTCAGTCTACAAGCTTAACGAGCCACTTAAACAAGCTTATCGAATTCTGCTGAATAGAGTGTATAGCAGAGTTAGACTGAAAATAGGACAAGAACAATGAAAGACACTGGAACGAGAAATGCGATATCTAGGATCAGAATGATATCAGGGCTTCATGATCGCTTGCTATTGTGACCTTGTTAGGCCCAGAAATAACGACACAAAGAGAGGAATTGACTTAAACAAATATATTAACAGAAACAGTAATACAAAAATATACAAACAAGAGTGTGTGCTGTTTCTTATTTTATTTTCCACACACACATACACACAATAAAAATTAATTCACACCACGTGTATTAAAAAAATACAATTGCGCGGGAATTCATTCCTTACCATGCCCTGTGGGGTCAAAAACAAGGACGGCGCACCCAAAAGTTCGGACGTAGTGAAAAGCACACCACGTGGTCAAAAATAGGATTTATTGACCAACCAGGACTCGACATAAGAAACCCATTTCTTAATCTCCCCGGAGCCTCATCATTCTTATATAAGGAAGGTAGAAACTCTCATCAGAACGGAGAGAGAACAGCGACAAGCTGACATCAAAGCGACACGGACAGTTTCGAGCGCACACACACCAAGAGGATTCAGCGGTTCACACAACAGGCAATAGCACGTATCAGTGAACATTCTTTCGCCCTCTCTTTCTCTCATCTCGCTCGCTACACATAGTCCTACCTTTCCCTCTCACATTCCCAGTTCCTTTCTTTCTCTTTTTCTTCCGCAGCTTTACGGACAATTTCATTTTTGTACAAAGAAAAAAAATAATTCTTTACAAAAATAAACAAAAGTTTATTTTACTTTATTTGTAGTGTATTTTCTTTTTATTATTTGTTTGAGGGACTCCTTTGCACCCTCTACAAATTGGTGACCGACGTGAGACACTACATTTAAAAAAACAAACAAAACGAAGAGGAAGGACACAATGGAATCACAATCTTCGGAAACCCCTCTCGCCACACTATCGTTGGATATCCCGGCTTTCAACACGACTAACATTAAGTCCTGGTTCGTTCAAATCCAGGCATTATTTGATGCGAAGCGAATCACCTCCCAGAGAACCTGCTATTGTTACTTAGTGGAAAAACTGCCAGCAGACATCGTCGAGGAAGTAATGGATTTACTGGAAAATGTCCCGGATGACAACCCGTACGATAGACTCAAGGAAGCAATTTTAAAACGGACCGGTGCCTCGAACGAAGCCATGCTACGCAACCTTTTCACTCAGGTTGAATTAGGAGACCGCACCCCATCGCAGTTATTGAGGCACATGCGAACCTTACTGGGTGACAACAAAATGTCCGAGAACATTATGCGGAGCTTATGCCTGGACAAGTTACCCACTACAACAACACAAATCCTCGCACCCATGACGGAGGAAACGCAGACAGAAAAACTCGCGGACATTGCAGATCGGATCCATGAAAGTTTTTGAAGCCGCAGGGTAAACTCTATCCAACCACAACCAGCCCAACAAAGAGACAGGGAATTTAACGACCTCAAGTCTACTGTAAAAAGGTTGTCTATACAATTACAAGGCTTACTGCAAAAGACCGACAGTACCGCCGCGATAAATGTCCAGGCTACAGAAAGCGAAGTTTCAGCAGAGGCCGGACTGACAACCGCAATCGAAAAGATGAAATTTGTTACTACCACAAAAGGTTTGGTCCTGAGGCGAGACGTTGTACACATCCTTGTTCTTTCAACAACGCGAATGCGGGAAACGGAAATTCCAGCCAGTAGAGACGACGGCTGTTGCTGGATTTTAACAAAAGGTCGTCTGTTTTATATCCGCGACAAAATTAATGGATATAACTTTTTAATAGACACCGGAGCTGAAATAAGCGTGATACCACCAACACAAAATCAGGAGACTATGCCACAGTCTTATCATCTTCAAGCAGCTAACGGTACCAAAATACCAACTTACGGAGAGAAATCGCTCAATATCAATCTCGGCATGCGACGGAATTTTTTCTGAATTTTACCATAGCCAGTGTAACAACGCCTATATTGGGGCAGATTTTTAGCCAGATTTAACCTGTCTGTCGACATGACTAATCGCACACTGGTGGATAATCAAACCAAGATTTCAGTAAGAGGACACACCTCGAAATACCAGTCTACTGGAATCAGTTCTGCCTTTACCGAGGACCAGTACATCCGTCAGCTACTAAAAAATATCCACAACTCTCCCAGCCATTTAAAAACACAGACACCATAAAACATAATGCCAAGCACCACATCAAGACAACTGGACAACCTGTCTATGCCACCCCAGACGATTGAAACCGGACAAGTATAAGATTGCGAAAAATGAGTTTCAACATTTATTACAGCAAGGGATCATCCGACCATCGAAAAGTGCTTGGTCTTCACCGCTACACATGGTGCAAAAATCCGACGCTACAACATGGCGTCCTTCCTTGTGGCGATTTTAGAAGATTAAATGCTAAAATGGTCCCGG